GCATTAAATGCAGAAAAAATGCTTCCTTTAAAAATCTAAAAAGCATTCCCATCTCTTTTAACAGTCTTCTTTAGAATTAACTTAATAAAAAAAATAATATAAATTAAATAGTTAAAATAATATTTAAGATGATAATTTATAAAAACTATATTCTATAAAAAAATATAAATAACCTATATTTTACTAAAATAATGATTCTTTATAAATTAAAGCAAATTCAAATCTTATTTCTACTCAAAAAACATTCTATTAATTTAATTTATCAAATCATTTTTTTTCTTCTTCTAAATAATAAAATCCTACTAATAATTTAAATATACAAAAGTAAAAAAAAAACCAAGAAATAATCCAATAAATAAAAAAATTATGTACCAAAAAACGTTATTCAAACCCATTAAAAAGTCTCAAACAATCCTCTAAATACTCACTAATGAGGAAAACACAAAATCATCCAGAAAATGAAGAAGAATTATCCGAATACTCCCAAAACGTATCTTTGGATATGGAGTTAGACCCTCCCACTGATACCCAATCAAGCAAACCTTAATTATTCCTATTAAAATCAATATATGAAGACCGTCCATTAACCATATATTTTCCTTACACAAAATATTGTTAATAATTAATACAAAGAAATGGTAACTAAAGAATTTATTAATGCTCTGATGCTGAAATAAAGAAATTCGATTTAAAATACAAAATATCAGGAGATTGTCCTTATAACTGTATTACAAAAAATCTCCAAGAATCCGGTTTTTAGTAAACAGAGAATTCCGATTGGAATTTGGTTTGGTCTTTCCCAAAAAACGATAGGGTAAAAAACATGAATTCTTTCCAAAAATACAACCATTTTCCTGGTTGTTGGAATTTAGGGCGAAAAGATTTTATGTACAGATGTTTAAATAAACTAAAAAGGAAATTCCCTAAAGAATTTCAATTTCTCCCGAACACTTTTTTACTATATAATCAAGGAGATTGGGATAGATTTCAATAAAAAAGGGAAGAAAGTCCAAAAGGAACACTATGGATAATGAAACCTGCAAACTAAGCCTGTGGTAGAGGTGTTAGAGTAATAAATAAAAACTCAAAAATAAAAAGGAATGAAAATTATATTATTTCGGAATATATTTCTAATCCACATTTAATAGATGGACTTAAATATGATTTAAGACTTTATGTATTAGTAACATCTTATGATCCTTTAAAAATATATTTATATGAGGAGGGTTTGACTAGATTTGCGACTGAAAAATATACTAATAAAAGTATATCTAAAAGATATATACATTTAACAAATTATAGTGTAAATAAACATGCTAAAAAATACTTAAAAAACACAGATGCTTAGACTGATGATTAGGGCTCTAAATGGTCTATTACAGCTTTAAAAGCAAGGTATAAATAAATGGGGATTAATGTAGAATTATTATTCTAATAAATAAAAGATGTTATTATAAAAACTTGTATATCAGCAGAACCTTATATGTTAGATATTCATTCAAAAGGATTAGAACATAGAAACAATTGCTTTGAATTGTATGGATATGATATTTTAATTGATAATAATTTAAATCCATGGCTTTTAGAAGTAAATGTTTGTCCGTCTTTAAGTTCTAGTTCGCCTTTAGATAGGAAAATCAAGCATTCTTTACTAAGCGATACTTTTAATTTAATAGGGATTGTGCCATATGATAAAAAGAAATTTAATGAAGATAAAAAAAATAAGTAATAATATTAATTAATAATCGAAAAAAAACTATAGGATTTTCCAAAAATATTAATGATATACAAGACCTAGATTTTGATAATTGCCTAGAAAAATTATCACCGGAAAATTGGGAAGTTCTATTTGAAATAGATGAGGAGTTTTCAAGAAAAGGACATTTTGAAAGAATTTATCCAAGTAAAGATTAAGGCGATTATTATATTAAATTTTATTAATTTTAAAGATTTAATACTATTATGGTCAATAAATGGATTTAATCTAATATAAATTTTTTAGAAAAAATACTAAAGAAAAAATATAATAATTCTTGTTGATATTATTATATTTTTTAAAGAAATAAAAAAAAAATATAAATATAGATATATATACATTTATTTTAAGTAATTTATATATATAAATTATATAATTAATATTTTTTGATTATAATATAAATATATATATAAGAATATATTAAATTAAATAAATTTTTATAATGAAAATATATTTATTAATTTTATTTTAGTATTCTTTTTTTTTCAAACAAAAATAAAAAAGATATATGTTTATAATATATATATATATATTATATTAAATTAATAATTATAAAATATAAAAATATTTTCTTCAATCAAAATAAAAAATAAGTAATTTAATTAATATATAAATTAATTTAATTTGAATAATAATTAACTTAGAAATTTATAATAGATGAATCAATAAAATTACCCAAATTTAACTTATGATAAAAAAATTGGCAATATATTTAAACTAAAACTTAATAATAATTTTAGTTTTAAAACTTTTAAATTCCTTAACAATAACTTAGTCTTTAATAATTTAAATATAAAAATAGATATAAAATTAAATATAGTATAATTTTTAATAAAATAATTAAATTATAACAATTATTCAAAAAAAAATAAAAAGTAGAAAATATTTATATGGATAAATAATAAGATAATTAAAATAAGAATTAAGAATAAGATGATTTAAATAAAGAAATATATTATTAAAAATTATAATATTAATAATAATAATAATAATAATAATAATAATAATTATAAAAATAATTTTATTTTAATAATTCACAATAGTAATAAATGTATATATAAGCATAATCTTAATAATTTAATTAAGCATTTTAAAGTAATACAAAATTTAATTAATTTTTGACATAATAGTTTGATTTAAACTAATCAAGTAATATTTTTAATTATAATTTAAATAATACATATTTTGATTTAATTTTATTTATTATATTTTTATATTTTTTTTATACTTATTTTTTTCCTTAAAATATCTTTTATATTTATTAGAATTTTTTAATATATATTTTATATTAAAAAAAAATTATTTATAAAAAAAAAACATAATAACAATTTTTATATTATAATTTTTAATAAGGTAATAATTTTTTATAATAATTTTTATAATAAACATAAATTAGAATTTTAATTGAAAGTAAAAATATATACTTTTATTTATTAATATATAAATAGATAGTTTATTTTAAATATAATTACCTATAATATAACTTTAAATTAATTAATAAATAATATACACTGAATTATAATTTCTTTAATTTTAGTAATAATAATCAATCTATGCCCAATAAATATTATTAGAAAATTTTTCAACAATCACTCTATATAATAAATAAAAAAAAGAATATAAAATATATATAAATAAGCAAATAATGATTTAATTGTTATATTATAATTTTGCATTAACTATTGATTTAACTTTTTTTACTATAGAACCATAATTTTTAAAATTAATTTAAAATTTTATAAATCTTTTTATACGAAGAAAAATTTCTATAGATTTTTAAGATTTTTTTTTTATATAATTTTTTTTTTCGAGTTTTCTTAAAAAAATATAATATAAGAAATATTAAATTATTTCAATATGAAACAATATTTACATTTGATTAATTTTCTAATAAACATAAAAGAATAATACTCTATATTATACTGCCTTAATAATATTTAAAACGATTGCTATTATCTACTTAAATAATTAATTTTATAAATAGAAGATTTTTATTGTGATTAAAACATAAATTATTTTTTTCAAATAACGAATATATTAATTAATTTTAATTAAAAAATTTTATTAAATTTATAAAAGAAAATAAATAATCAAAATAAATAATAAATAATTTCAAAGAAAATTCAGCAAATAAAAATATATAGCATCTATAAAATTTATTTAAATTATAAAAGATTATTTAAAATAAAAAGGATAAAATATAATAGATGATGTTAAATATGAAATTATATAATAATGTTTACTATGTTCTTTATTTTAATATGAAGATTTTTTAATAATATCTAAATATTATAGTAATGATGTATAAATAGAAATGTAATAAAAAAAATTAAAAACAATTTAAATCGATTATGAAAATTAAGTAAATTGTAGAGATGCTTATAATATATAATCAACTCTAGCTAAAGTATAGAAACAAATATAAAAAATATAACGTTATTTAAATTTAATAAATCAAATATTTAAGAAAATAATATAAATAGTTAAAAAGAAATATTACAAAAATAATAATCTTAAAATGAATAAAAAAATAAAAAAATATAATAAAAATAATAATATTAATAATAAAAAAAATAATAATAATAATAATAATAATAATAATAATAATAATAATAATAATCTAATTTTAATTAATTATAATTATAAAACAATTCTTAAATAAATTTTTTATATTAATAAACTATAGACAATAAATTAAATTTAAATTAACAAAATAATAAAAACCGAACTAATAATTTTATTTAATAAATATAAAATCCTAATAAACAAAATAATATTGATCCGGATATACTTCATTTTGATAACAAAACTGAATAATATTATTAAAATTAATCATATATAATTATAAGTTAATGTAAACATAAATTTTGTTATTATTGTATACTTTTAAGATTACCATAAAAATTATAAATTAATATTATTTAAGGATTAGAAAGTACTATAAAAATTGAAGAAAGAAAAATATACTATCCTTTAAGAATAAAAAACTAATGTGAATGTTTTTTAATCAAAGAAGATATTGAATAAATTCGATAAATTTTCTCGAGTAATATTAATTGATTTTTTTTATTTTGTAAAAAAAAAAAAAAAATGAATTTTAATATCAAAAAATAAATAAACTACAAATCTATTCATATATATATAATATAAATAAAATAAAATAACAAGAATTTAAATATTTAAAATTATCATTATTATTATTAAACAGTATTTTTTTTTCTACTATTTAAAATATTTTTTATACTCAAACAATATTTCATCACAAAACTCCGAATCTAAAAGACATGTATCAGCTATAATTGCAAGTACCAAATAAGGTTCCATATTTGAAGCCGGTCTTCTATCTTCCATATATCCTTTATTGTTTTCCTAAACAACTGACGGAATCCTAATAGAAACATCTCTACTACATTCTTTGAAATTAAATTTATTATAAATACTAGTTTCATGAGATCCTAATAGTCTTAATTCATTATTTTCTCCATAAACTTCTATATGTTCCATATGTTTTTCATGCATCCGAGGTATATATTCATCTATAATAATATCTAACCCATTTTCCTATCTACTACTTTTAGTCGAAAAATTAACATGTCCCCCTTAACCTTTCTTAACATAAAAATATTATAATAATTTATTTTATAAAAATAAAATAATAAAAAAGCATACCCAATCTCCTTTAAATGGTTTAGGACAAAAACATATACAAATTCCCATTTTTTCACCTAATCTTATTAAAATATATCTAGCAACCCATAACATATCTGCTGCCTAAATTCCTTTACTGATTCCTATTTGAAATTCCCATTAAGACGGATCTGATTCTCCATTTAACCCTGAAACTTAGATTCCTGAAAATAAGCACATTCTAATATGTGCTTCTGCTATTCCTCTTCCAAAGCATGAATTATCTCCTACTGAGCAATAATATTTACAATAAGGCATTAGAGGTTCCGGGTAACCTCCTCTAGGCCAATTTAACGGCCATTAATTGGTAGTTCCGACACTTGTAAATAACATGTATTCTTATTCAATGGCAAACCATGGATCTTCATTTACTATTTATTCTTATTAGAATATTTTACTGCATATGTTTCGAAAATTTGTCATATAAGGTGTTTATTTATCATCTAAATATGTCTCCGTTAATACTAAATAAGTATTTTTTATCTACGAAATGGATCAGGACACATATATATGGGTTTTAAATATATAATTTCATGGTCCATTTAACATTGGATTCCATTTATTGTTATCCAGTCCATATCTTCTAGTTTTGCTATCACTTTTTAATGTATTTTTGTCAAAGAACGAATATTTTTGTCAGAACTGTCTATCCATATATATTCGCATATTGTATATTCTATGTTTTATGGATATTCATAATTTATTTACATTTTTTATATATTTTCGAATAATAATTTATATTTTTTTTTTTTTTTTTTTTTTTCGACGAAAGAAAAAATTTTCAATTTTTTTTTTTTTTTTTAATTAAAAGTAAAATTTATTTTTTAAAAAGAGGAAAAAAATAATATTTTATAAAATTAATTAAATAATAATAATTTGACATAGATTTAATAAAATTTATATACATTTTTATGTAAAATATGTTTATTTAAAAAAAAGGTATGATTTATTATCTTAAATTAAAAAAAATATTTTATAATTTATTATTAATAAAAATTAATTAATTTATTCTAATTTTGTAAATAATCTAAAAAAAAAAAAAAAAAGCATTAAAATAAAAAAATGATTTTTTATATAAATTTAATAATAATAATAATTAAAAATATTATATAATAAGTTTTTTTATATATTATCAAACAAAAAAAAAAAACAGATTTTATTTATATAAAAATAAAATTTTTATTTTTAGCTATTTTTTTTTAAAAAATTACAAATTTAATCAAAAATTAGTTAAAAGTTAATATTTTTATCAATACTCGAATTTTCACATTATTATAAAAAATATAAAATATATTTAGCAAAAAACAAAAAAAAAACTAAAAAATGAGATATTTTTAAACAAAGAAATATGTAAAAAACCTTAAAAAAGAAAATTAAAAAGAAAAAATCTAAAAAAAATCAATTTCTAAACATAAATACTCAAAAATAACTGAAGAAATAAAATCCTAATTTCTTAAGAACATGTTCTATAATAATAAGTCCATTAAAAAATCTGCATAAGAACTTAACATAAATTACTCTTCTGCTAAAATAATATTAAATTAACATAGAAAAAGATAAAGAAATAATGATTTTTTAAAGAGTGAAAGTCTTAAAACAATTCAATCTACGAAAAACTCATGTAATTATACTTTTTTATAGAAGGATAAATAGAATAATGTGTAGATTATTTGTTCGATAGGAGGATTCTAAATAGAAAATGATACTATTAATTAATACGAAAATAATTATGAAAATTTGATTAAGATTATATTGGAATTACAATATTAATAATTTTATTAGTCTTTAATTACATAATGTTTTAACAATAATTTTTGAAGATAAAAAATAAAAACACGATATTTTATTTTTATTAATTAAAAAATATAAAAATATATAAATATATATAATTATATATATATATATATTTTATATTATGTATTTTTTTTATTTATATTTATTTTAATTAAATTTCAATATATTTATTTTATTATAAAAGATAGAAACACATTAAAAAAAAATTAATTATTTCAAAAATATTATAATATAATTTTTTATAATTATATATATATTAATTATTAATATTATTTTAATTATATTTTTTTTTATATAATAAAATAAACACATAAATAATATAATATATTATAAATAATAATATTCCGCTTAAAATTATATTTGAATTTTATTTTTTAAATTTAGTTAATTATAATATTATCAAATAATTAAAAAAATACATTTATATATATATATATTAATAATTAACAAATCATATTATGTCAAAGTTTTATGTAAAAATTTAATAAACAGCTTAAAAACAATAACTTTTATAAAAAGAAGAAAAGAACGAGTACATTATTTTATTTTTAAAAAAAATTACTTTAATAATAATTATTTTCTATAGAAAATAAAAAAAAAACTAATGGACTTTAAATGATTTCCAAAGAATCAAATATATATCAAAAGGCTAATTTGGCGTATAATAATTATAATATTAATAGAATTATATAAAAAAATTTAAAAGATTGTATGGAAAATGATTGAAATAAATCAAGATAGAATAGTTGCTGTTAAACAAATAAACAAACAAGATGTAATAAAGCTTAATATGTATATAAATTTAAAACGAGAAATTGAAATTCATAGTCATTTATAGTAAATAAAAAAATAAAAACTCAAAAAAAAGTTAAAAAAGGCATAAACATATAATTGAATTTTATGGATATTTTTAAAATGAGTCTAAAGTATTCTTAGTATTAGAATATGCATGCAAAGGAAATTTACACGAATTGATAAAGTAATAAGATTACACATATTTATCCGAAATGCAAGTCGCAAAAATAATATATTAATTATCAACTGCTGTTATGTGTTTAAAAGAAAGAAAAGTATTACATAGAGATATTAAACTAGAAAATATATTAATAGATTATCTCGGAGATGTAAAATTAGCTGATTTTGGATGTTCTGCTATTGATTTTTAATAAAAGAAAAGAAATACTTTTTGTGGAACTACTGATTATTTAAGTCCAGAAATTCTCATTTAAAATAATAAGGACATGAGGCTGATGTATGGGCTATAGGAGTTGTTCTATATGAATTATTATATTAAGTTTCTCCTTTTTAAGGAGATGATAGAATATAAAAAATTAATAAAATAAAAGACTTAAAATTGGAAATTTAGAGATAAAATAAGAGTTATTTCTTAAGAAGCTAAATCATTAATATAAGGAGTATTTTATTTATAAATGTTATAAAGTTTTATTATATATTTATTTATTTTTTAGATTCTTAATCCTAATATATAAAGTAGATTTACAGCTGAAGATATTATTAAAAGTCCTTTTATTGTTGATAATTATATAAATAATATAGATAATAAAAATATATAAATAACTATATGATATTTAATTTCTATTATAAAATAAATACTAAAATTTAAAATTAATATATAATTTTATATAAAAATGGCATTATTAAATATTAAATATTAAATATTCAATATAAAGTAATCATATATATATATAATAAACAGGATATAAAATTAAAGACATCGTCTATATTTTTGATTATGAAAACCATTTATATAATATATATTTTATAATTCTAAATAATATATAATAGTAACAATACATTTTATAATAATCAAATTCATAAATTAAATTTAAAGCTAAAGTTATTAAGAATAAATATAATTCAAATAGATTTAATAGTTATATTAAGACGAATAAGTTATTTATAATAATTGCTAAGATTCCTTAAAGCTAGTTAATGTTAAATTAACTAAAATCAAATAATAAAATAATTAATAATTAAAATACTGAATTACATATAGATAAAGGAATCGATAAATAAGATGATTTTAATAATTTTATTTCTTAATTAATATAAGAAAATTAGTATTTTGATTTTCTAATTAAATTTTAATAAAGAAAATATGGATAAAAAATCATTTTTATTAAAATAATAGTGAAGAAATTACTGAAATTGAGTTAAAATATTTATAAATAAATTGAAAATCAATAATAATAAAAAAAAAAAAATCATTAATTTAAATAATAAATATGACGAAATTTTAGAAAATATTTTTTTTAAAAAAAAATTGAGAATATAAAATAAAATAAAAAATAATAATAACTAATTTACGAATAATAATAATTATATATAATAGAAAAAAATTATTAGAAAATAAAATATAAGAATAAATACTTTGATTTCAATATGAATAATAAATAAATATTAATAAATATTTTATTTAATAAAAACATGATTTTTAAGAACATATATTGATAAGGATACGATGATTTATTGACAAAAATAATATTAAATTTTGAAATTAAAAAAAATAAAATATTGATTTTACTGATATATAAAAATCTAAATAGCTTTTAAAATATAATAGAGTAAAAAGATAAAATTTTAAAATAAATAACCTAAGTTTTTTAAATTAATAGAAAAAAATAATATAAATTTTAAAAAATTAGATAATAAAGGATAATAAAGAAAAAAAAAAAAATTATAATTTTTTATATATATAATTTATTATATAAAAAAATTATTTATTATATAAAAAAATTATTTATTATCTTTTTTATTTTTGTTAAATATTTAATATTAATTAATACTTAACCTAATTATAATATTTATTTATTTTCGTATTTAAATAATTAATATTTTAAACATAATTGTAACAAATACTTTATCTAAATTTTCATGATATTTTTTATTTTTAGAGTGTGATTTTTTTAGAAAATGCATTAAAATTTAAATATACAAAGCTAGTAATTAATATAAATATATAAAGAAGTCTTTAAATTCTATAAATGTATTTTACTTTTCTAGTATTTTAATCAATTTAATATATTATATTTTTGTTAATATTATATATATATATTAAATAATTATATATTAATTAATTATTAAAAAAAATTATATATATTTGTATTATATAATATATTGCGTGTTTTTATATTCATTTCTATAAAACTAAATTTTCGATAATTATAATTTAAATAATTAATTAATTCATAAACAAAAAAGATTATTACATTAAATAATATTTAAATTATATTATGTTCATTAATATTATAGGATGAAAATAAAATATATGTATAATAAAATTATTATATTTAAATATATTTTTAATATATTTCTTTTTATTTTCTTTTATAAAATTGTCTAT